TTATATAATTATGTGAATAATTTTATGAATTATGAACTTTTTTCCCGGGTTTTATTATAAAATTTTCCACGTGTACGTATCTCAACAATGTTAATCAACAAAAATGCATGTGTTGGTCTGATTTTTCAACAAGTTATTTCTTTCAACCAATTGATTTACGACAGTCCAAGGTAGAGCTAAAAGATCGCTGAGGACGATATATTTTGGACTGTCGTAAATCAATTAGTTGAAAGAAATAACTTGTTGAAAAATCAGGCCAACACACGCATTTTTGTTGATTAGCATTGCTGAGATACGTACACGTGGAAAATTTTATAGTAAAACCCGGGAAAAAAGTTCATAAAATTATTCACATAATTATATAAAAATTTATATAATTATATATGAATTTTATCTATATATATGACCTTACATATGACTATCTAATTATGTATGTCCATACACAAGACAAATACTGTTGAATGAAAAAAGGAAAACATAATTTGATTCAATCAAACGTCGACATCATAGGCTACCACAAATGTAAGCATTTATTTTTGTAACAGCATTTTTTTCAATATGGACATGTATAATTATATATGATCATATATGGTCATATATGGAAAAAATCTATATATGAATTTTTCCCTGAAATATATTTATACCTTTTTCTATATAATTTTATAGCCGAAAGATGCATCAACATTCTGCAGTAATTTATTCTATCCTTTCATTTCATATGTGCCACTTGTATTTTAAGAACTGAAATGTATTATTAAAATACTTGTTATATTTCTAGTGAAATTTACTACGTTTTTTAGCAAGATAACTGACAGTTTATTCCTGAAATATTAAAAATATAGTAACATTGACAAGAATTTGTATGAAAATAAGAACTATAATATTCTCTCCCTGTAGAAGGACATGAATATAAGCAGACATTGCCGAGGAAATTCGTTGAACGCATATATACGTCCATAGACCGTGCCGATGACATTTGTCGAACAGACATATGCATCCACAGTACACAAAAGGTTAAAAACGGTGTGTAGGTTCGAAGAGTGCTAACTTTCTCATAAATGTTGTTGTGGTATTTACGACACTTAGTGCACTCATTTATTATATGCTCGTTATGAAGGCGAAAACCGGATTTCAGCTATCGCGAATCGCGCTTGTACGCGCATACATTTTGTGCTTTCGCAATATTTGTTGAAACATTCCGATAGATTACTGCATGAGTAACATTCCGCGGGCAAAATATAGCGAACGTTTTGTACATATACAAATGCTGATTATAAGCAATATACTTGTATGTATGTGTATATGTGTGTGTATGAAGCTATTGTTAAAAAAGTAGAACAACGAAAATTCTAATTATGTAGATAACGATTTAAAAAAAAAAGACATACGTTAGGAAAATATATAGTCACGGACAAAAAGATTGTCTGTATCTGAAGTAAATTTGTAAAATCTTGTTTAATCTCTTGTCCGTCTTGTTTAATGGTCTTATTTTCTGGGAAAATTTTGCCATTATACGAGACATATGACAAATTTATTCAAAAAGTTGCGGACAATCTTTTTGTTGTATAGTTAATTGTTGTATGGAAGCAAGCTAAAATCCTTCTACTCTATAATGTCAGACAAAAATAGAATGGTGAAACAAAACAAGCTGTCCACTTTCAATTTGACGTCTTTTCAGCCAAATGCGCAGTCTAGGTATTATACGTCGATGGTTTTCTTAACTACAGTCACGATTTATATTAGTGTTTAAATCTTTGGATGATGCTGAAACTTTAGAGCTAAAAGATCGTTGAGAACGATATATTTTGGACTGTCGTAAATCAATTGGTTGAAAGAAATAACTTGTTGAAGAATCAGACTAACGCAATGCATTTTTGTTGATTAACATTGCTGAGATATGTACACGTGGAAAATTTTATAGTAAAACCCGAGGAAAAAGTTCATAATTCATAAAATTATTCACATAATTATATAAAAATATATATATGATTATATATGAATATATGGTTTGTATACACGAATTTGTGAGGTAAGAAATTGCCGGTCTTCAGGTTTATATTTGAAAAATGGCATTAGTACGTATAAAGTTTAACTCAATGTGCTAGTTTAGACCGATCGTTTCGACACGTACGTTTCAACACTTCAGTGGTCAGCCTACAGCACATAGTGCGTGTTTTGCTGCTTGTTTTAGTGTCGGATTCATTGCGCATTGCTCTGTGGACTGTGATGTGACAGCACACAGTCCTAAAGTGACAGCACTGCTGGCTTTTGCTTCATTGCTAACAGAACTTGCGTTCAGAGCTAACATCTATTCTTTTTAAACAAGTATAATAAGTATATATTTAATATGTTAATAAGATATCAATATATAAATAAGGAAAAACAAATATGTAATCTGTTTTTTAGCAAGAACACGTTACATTAGCCGTAAAGCCATTTTATTAGCTATATATTGTTTAATATCTAAGGTAACACTTATAGACTAACTGTACTCGACCCGGCATCTCATGTAATTTAACTTTTCGTCTAGCAATCAGGCATGATAAAGTAACGTATATAAAATTTCCAGTTTCGCAACTAGCATGCTAGTTCACATGGTAGCTCGTATGGGATTTAATATAAAACCACACAGTATGCCATAGTCTTTTACTTAGCATTGTGCTAGTTTATACCTATCGTTTAATAGATGTATTAAATAGTAGCTTTTTATTAAATTATCTTAATAGTGACGATGCGTGTAAACAACGATGTACTAAAAAGCTATAATATCAAGAAGATATTATATTAATTGAACCCATACAGCACAGAAGCTTGCAGCAACATTGCTACAGCGTTGCAAGATTACA